TATTGCGTTTAGAATGTTCACTTTGTTTCATTCGTTCGATAAATGTAATAATTGTTGATCTTGAGATGACTTTTCAGAATTATGATTGTAACTATTTCCGGATTTTCAATGTTTTTTTTTTTTATATTAGTTTAGTTTAGTTTTCAGCATTTTCCTCTTTTATTATAATAAAGTTGTATTTCATGAATAGTGTTTTAGAATTTCATATCATACAAATAAAAGTTTATTGCCGATTCTTTCCGAAAAGTCAATAAAAATACGACCTTCCCAGTTAATAAAACCAACTAAACTTTCCTTTGTATTTCCTTTTTTTTGTGTGAGTGTGTCTGTTTATAACGACTTCTTTTACCTTCTTCCGTTCACTTTATCATGGTTTTTCTTCTGCTTCTTTTTTCGTTAAAACTTAAAACTTTCATCGGTACTGTAAGAGCCCCGCCGGCGATTTGTTTTACGCCCGTTTTCACTTCCGGAAATTTGGTAGAAATCTTGGCTCGCGATTTCAGTTTTCAGGAAATATGCATATGCCCTAGACTTATAGATTTCCTTTTTTCTCTCCTTCGTTTGTATTTTTATTATTCTACTTGTTTTCTCCTTGTTCTTATTCTTTTTCCTCTTCTTTTCTTACATCACTTCTTTCTTCTTTTTCTTCTCCTCCTTCTTCTTTCTCTTTTTATTCTTTTCTTCTTCTTCTTCTTCTTCCCCCTCCCCTTCGTCTTCTTCTTCCTCTTCCTCTTCCTCTTTTTCTTTCTCTTTCTCTTCTACTTCCTCTTCTTTTTCTTTTTCTTTTTCTTTTTCTTTTTCTTTTTCTTTTTCTTTTTCTTTTTCTTTTCTTTTTCTTTTTCTTTTCTTTTTCTTTTCCTTTTTCTTCTTCTTCTTCTTCTTCTTCTTCTCCTCCTTCATCTTCACCTTCATCTTCTCCTTCTCCTTCTCCTCCTCCTTCACCTACACCTTCTCCTTCTCCTTCTCCTTTTCCTTCTCTTTTTCCTCCCCCTCCTCCCCCTCTTCCTACTTTTTATATTAAGGGTAAATAAGTGATTTCTAACGAGAACACTAACTGATCCACGCACATAGATACAGACGTATATAAAAAGCGTTGTTTATGTTATGTTAAGTACATGATATTAATTATACATATATATATATATATATATATATATATATATATATATATATATATATATATATATACATATATATATATATATATATATATATATATATATATATATATATATATATATATATATATATATATATATATATATATATGTGTGTGTGTATGTGTGTGTGTGTGTGTGTGTGTGTGTGTGTGTGTGTGTGTGTGTGTGTGTGTGTGTGTGTGTGTATGATTTAACGCGTTTATTTATTTTTTCTCTCTCTCTATGCCCACTACTAACCCGTGCCTCCCTCCCCCCCTAGGGCTCCTCTCAGGGTCCCCCTCGAGGCGTCTCGTCTGTGTCGCAGTTCGTCCCTCTTTCCTCCGACTCGTCCTCCTCCTCCGCCACGCCCCGCAAGTCGTCCTCGGGCCCTTCAGGAACCTCGTCCTCGCTCCCTTCGGCGTCCTCCCACCGCGTCCTGCCCTCCAGCGGCTCTTCGTCGGGGAAGACCAACAGCACCCGGGTCACTCCTCCTTCGGTGCCTTCGATCTTGAAGCCGTCGTCCCTCGCGTCTCTTCACGGGTCGAGATCGCTGCCGCCCACGTCGTCCTCCGCGGCCGTGGGCGTCCCCTACAAGCACAAGCACGCCTCGGCCGCCCCGACGTCCGAACACACGCCCTCCGCCTTCGCACACCCGCAACACGGCGCCAAACTCAACATGGCACCGCATCTCCATCAGCCACACCACCCGATGCACCCACACCTTCACTCCCTTCCTCTCCCTCATCCTCACGCCCACCCTCACCCACACCCGCACCCCCACGCCCACCCACAACACCAACCAGTCCACCCACACCAGCTGCCTCAGCATTTCCCTGCACACGCCGCCCACCCTTCGCTCTACTACCCGCACCTGGTGACGCCCATGATGCCCTACTACCCGACGGATCAGGTGAGTGCGATGAGCGTTTAAATTTGGCTAAGGAATTATTGTTATCTTATTATCTTAATATCTTTCTTTCTATCCTTTTTTTTTAGCTAATTGTCATGGGGTTAAGATAGCAACAAGGAGGATAATAATGATCTTTGTAACCAGAATAATAATGATATTATTATTGAAGTACGAATAATAATTATAACATTATAGTTGTAAGAATAATTATTATAACATTACTACTACTACTAATGCATGTTATTCATCTTTCTAAATTAACCCCTTAAGTTCACTGTTATTCTTCATGACCTCCAATAATATCAGAGCCTATTAATCACAACATATACAAATACTAGATAACGAGATATTTACCATGATAATAAAGATAAAATCGATTTAACATTACTTATACCCGTTTCAACTGAACAGCCAAATGATACTTATTATCAGAATTCCTCTAATTTTTTAAAAACCCGTCCCTATTTCAGGATCTGCAACAAACCCGCAAACACAGGAAGAAGGAGAGCGGCAAGAAACGCAAGGATGGCAAGAATAAGCAAAAGGAGGAGGAGAAGAAGAAGAAGAAGGAGAAGAAGAGGAAAAGCAAGGAACTCACAGACGAACAAATCGAAAGAACATACACAGGGTTGGACAGGGAACTTGCCGAGGAATTTATCGATTCAACGATGGAACCGGGTCTCTCGCTCCAAAGGGCCTTCAACACGAGTTTTGATCAAGATTCGTTTTAAGAAAATAGAACGATAATAATAGGAATAAGAAGTGTCCGTGTATGTTCCTTTTTTTTTTTTGTCTTGTTTTTTTTGTCCTGCCAAAATATTGTACATGAAAATACTAACCTGTTTTTTTATATAAGATATGTTATAGACAATTCCATGACGTGTTTTATCATATTAATGAGTGTTTCAATCTCTCTGTCTTTTTTCTATTATTTCATACTTTATTTTGTATTATCTGTTTTGAATGGGTTCTTTTAGCTTTTTCTAGAATCAATAACTTAACTCTAACATGGATTGTAAATGAATTAGGATTTATAACCTCATGTATGTACATATACATATATATGCATATATCATTATACATATATATACTTTCATAAATGTAAAAGTGCACAACTGATTATAACGTTTGTATATAATGAAACTTTTAGTCAGTTCTCAGCAGGATGAAATGTAAAATAATTTTATTTTATCATCAAAGCCATTATATAATGTACATGTACAGCATGTACATCATAAGTTATTGTACATCTGACCCTCTGCACATTTTATTGTATTGCACATGTTAAAAAAGTCACTGGATTTTTGGTCACAAACCTTTCATAAAAAAAATTTAAAAAAAATACATTAATATAGAAATCAGTTTTCAGTGCCATTGATTTTATCTAGTAATTAAATTCATAACTACCTTTTCAGTATTACCTTATCATAGTCCTATTAAACCACATCTGCTGCCAGAAATAATTGCAAATATCAATAGTATTAAATATGTTTGAAGAAAAATTCAAACTTTATTTCAGTCAAGCTTCATTTTGCATAAATTTTAATTGTTCGATTTGTACTAATTCCCTTTTTCTTATATTATCCACCCTCCATATACCCAGTGTAAATATCTTAATATATTTTCTGCAATGTATTTCATTGCTGCTCAAGTTCATATAACTATATTCTTAAGTTTGTAAATAGTGCATGATGTATATATATAAAAAATAATAATAAATCATATAATGTTTTTGGTCTTTCATTCTCCTTTATACCTAAGGCACAATATATTATAAAACCCAACAAAGTAAAACAAAGCAATTGAAAAATAAGTAATTTTCAAAACAACTGTGAATAACCATTAAATAAACCACAAAAAATGTATCATAAATAAATGCCAGTGAAATCCACAACTATCCTGACAAGTGATCTGTACATTGTATATGTAAAGAACATATATATAATGATAATCTTCTAAAAGACTGAATAATTATTAAAATATTGTTAGCTTTTACATGTTAATTATAAGTAATATAAACAAATAAAATTATGAACATTGTATTGTAACCTGTGTATCAAAAGTGCTATTTTTTCAGTATATAATATGGAAAAGATAACAGGAACATATATACCTTTGAATTAAAACATTTATATTGGTTCATAATTTGTCAACAAAATTAATTAATGAACTAAGGAATGTGATACATATTCTCTTGAAAGGCTTTTCAAATTTGTTAAAAATACATCTCTAATAAAAGACTACATTCAACTCAATGTGACTAAACCTTAAGGTCTCACTATTTATTGACTTTTTTAACACAGCTCCAACTTCATTGAGTTATTTAGTTTAACACAAAATTCCCAATAACTTTGATTTTTTTTAGTAATGTTTAAACTTTAGAAAAGGGGTATATTTTTCAATACCAGTATGTTTTTCCTTCTTTGTAAACCTTCCTTCTCATATGAAATCTTATGAACTTTCTTGAATCCTGAATGTTTCCAAGAAATGAAATTGGTACTGATTTATGATCAAGTTAGTGTATAACAAGTACTGTGCTATGATTTCTAATACTTAGGACCTTGGCAGCAAATTATATAAACCAACCACAATACATTATACAATAAAAGTTCATAAGTAAAAAAAATAAATAAATAAATAAACAAATAAATAAAAAGTTAATGTTGAAAAAATAAATGTATCTAAAAAAAAAGAGCACTGAATTATCATTAACTTTCCCTTCTAATTTACTAATCTAAGCATGAGCTAACCATGTGAATGTTATCACCCTCAAAATATGACAACCTACAAAGTTGTGGGAACCTAACTGAGAATTTTGATTACTTGAGAAAACCGGGTAACTGGGAAGACGCATAATATAGTAAGTTTATATTTTTCTCCAATCACAAACTATAAACAAAAAATTCTTGCAAAAGCTACAGCCTACTTACTGGTTGTATCTATTCCAAGGT